CAATCAATCATTGTTTTTCTCTTCTTTTTTTTATTGGTTTTTCAGGACATAGAAAGAAGAAGAACAACGGAAATGCATGACGATGAGAAGAGGAAGAAAGAGTATCAAGAAGGAGAAGGAAATTCATCACCCAGCCCGACCCAAATTATTTTAACTTTTGTTTGTTTGTTTATTATTTGGTGTAATTATTTTATTTATTAATGAAAAGAAACTAACCGCTAACACTAACTAGTTAACAACTAACATAAAAATAAAAATCTAAAATTAACTTTTGTGAAAAATCTGATTTAATTTATTTAAAAGCATAAAAAATGATAATTAATTAATAAAAAAGAGAAGGTTTTTAATACAATTTTTTGTGAATTTAATTTAATTTATCTAGTTAGTTTAATCTCACTTTAATTCAAACAAAAAAATGGATGTACAAAATAATTTAACTTTTAGATTTAATAATAATCCCGTTTTCATTAGAATAACAAAATAATATTAACGTTTAGCCTTAATTTAGGTTGATTTAAGTTTAATATAATAACAAATGCATAAAAACTGTAAATTAATGTTTTTTTTTATCAATTTTCTTTGTTTTTCTTAAAGATCCATAAAATATTTTCATAAAAATAAAAATAACTTTTCTTTTTATTATTCTAATGAACTCAACCTATTTTTTAATCTTGTTAATGTCTATCTTAGCTCAAAACGCTCCAAATAATTAAAAACAATTTTAGAGTTAATTATAGTTTAGTTGTTCTTAATTTATTTACAAAATAAAAAAAATGCATTTAATTTTTAATTAATTTGTGATCTTAATCTTATTTCAACATATAATAAAAATGTTCAATTTAATTTAATCTAATTTCATTTTTATAAATGAAATGGTATACTATTCAAATTTAAACAAAAATCTAGACAAAAATATTTTATTTTTCTTAATTAATTTAGAACTTTTTTGTAATTCATTCCTAACACATTTTCCTAAAAAATAATATTAACTAACTCTTTGTTTAATTAAAAATAAATCAGTTTATTTCTTCGTTTCAAATTCAACTCAAATTCTAAGATCTTTTAATTTAGACTTAATTCCTAAAATTCACAAAACCATAAAAACAATCAATTTTAATTTTCATGCCTACTTAGATTCAATTCCGTAATATTCACAAAAACAACTAAAAATTCAACTTCTAAGTGCTGAATAAATTTCCAATTTCATCGCTTAATTTCATATACGATATGCTCATCGCTATCATCATCTATGCATCAATTTATCATTTTCAATTATCATTGCTATTATCCATTATTATCCATTGCGCTTTATCGCTTAATTCCCTCTGAAGGAAGGGTTCATATGCTTGACCCCCGTGTCAATACCTTTACCCTCACCCTAGCCTTAAGATTTGAGCCCCCGTACTCACCTTTTAGGCGTCCCTCCGTGGACATTTGCCCTTTATCCTAGCCTAAGGATTAGGAGTCGCCGTACTCCATGTAAGTTTCCCACCGTGGAATACTTATCCCACACCCTTTCAACTTTACTTTATAATGTAGAATAGGAGTCCCCGTACTCTAAAATAAGCGTTTCACTATGAACGTTTATTTTCCCCCAGGAACCTTGACCACAGTCAAGAAGTTCCTCGTCTCTCTCTGTGAGGAGAACTACGATTACTCTGATTCCATCCCCTACCCAGGATACGTAGGCACAAGATGCGAGTCTTGGCGAGTAAACTTAGGACTAACCCCTTTAGGTCCTTCTCTTTACCTTTAACCCTTAGCATTACCTTTAAGCAGATAACTATAGCAATAGCACACCTTTAAAACAAGAGATTCCTGTAGAATACTACAGAAGTTTAGGATGCTAATACCTTCCCTAAGCTTAACCAACCCCCGAACCCTAGATCTTTCCCCGCATTGTGTTTATGATGCAAAATAGGTTTTCCCCTTTCTTTAACCTTTCCTTCGGATAAATCAAAGACCGGTTGTAAATGAATTAAGATTCAAGTTAATCAATAGCTTGACATCCAAATTCCACCGCAACATTGAGGGATTTGAATTGATGGTCTGATAGGTTTGAGGCTGATTTGAGAGTAAGGGAAATTAGGCCTTTGTGGCCAAATCGGTTGTTGAGGTTGTTTAACCGTATATGGTAAGTGATTTTGAGAACTTTAATGACTGTGGGGTATTTGTAAGAAATTATGGCAATTGGAGGCATAAATAGGATACGGGATTGGCCTAATAAGTCGTAGATTTTATGTCTTTATCACCTAATACCTTAGGAATGATTTAGGGATGTTTTTAGGGCATTGGGGAAGGAAATCATAGAGGTTTTTGGGCTGGTTTTGGTACTGGTGCGTAACATTGATTTTTTGTAATCGCGAGTTCGCACAACGAAGAACCCTTCGCACGAAAAACATTTGCCCCAGACTCGCACAATGAACTTGCTAGCGAACGTAGCAGAGTTTCGGGAATTCTGATCTTGTGCAGTGATGTCTTGATGTTTTGATGCTGTGATTTCTTTGATGAATTACCATGAGTATGACTATGATTCTTCTGAGATTAATACATGATTGTATGATGATTCCTATGAGTAATGATGATGAGTTATGATGTTGATTTCATGAGTTTTGATGATTCTATGATGACATGATTATTATTATGATTTTGATGAATGATGATGCACCTAATGAGTTTTTTATAAGGATTATACGTGTGCATCATGCATTCATATGCATTCTGGGCTTCGGTCTAGGACCTTGATTCTTGTGGCTTCAGCTCCATTATGCGGATGTGAGGTATTTTGTTGTGCTCCGATTCTTGTGCAGAATCAATCCTACTGTTGTGGATCGATGGAGGGTTGATGGCCCAATGCTCATCGAATTTTGTTGATTGATACCACATGCATGAGTCTTGTTGTGGATCTATGGAGGAGCGACAAAGGGTCGTGTCGTCAGCGATGTAGAAGCGAAATCGAACAAGCCTGAGACGAAATCGTGCAATGTAGGTTGTGATCTTGGATGTTTGATTCGATGCTATTGCAGTGAGAATCAGATAACAAGCTATTGAATGAACTTGAATCGCAAATATTTGAATTCACAAGCGGTCTTTGATTTATCCGAAGGAAATGTTAAAGAAAGAAAAACCTAATTTGCATCGTAAACACAATGCGGAGAGATTTAGGGTTCGAGGGTTGGTTATACCTAGGGAAGGTGTTAGCATCCTAAGCATTTGTAGTATTCTACAGGAACTTCTTGTTTAATATTGTGTTATTTGGTATTCTATCTGTTATCTGCTAAAGGGTTGAAGGTAAAAAGAGAGAGACCTAAGGGGTTAATCCTAAGTATAATCGCCAAGAAATCGCATCTTGTGCCTACGTATCCTGATGAGAATGGAATCAGAGTAATCGTAGTTTCCCTCAAAGAGGGTGAGGAACTTCTTGACTGTGGTCAAAGTTCCAAGGGGAAGTAAGTGTTCATAGTGAGACACTTACAGGGAGTGCGGCGACTCCAAATCTACGTTGAATGTTGAAAGATAGGTAAATATGTAAGTATCCATAGCAGGAGCTTACGTGGAGTAAGGTGACTCCGATCCTAAAGCTAGGATAAAGGCATGAAAGAGAATTTCCATGGCAGGACGCTTGTGTGGAGTACAACGACTCCGACCCTAAGGCTGAGAACAAGGGTAAGATCTAAAACTAAACTACGCATGAAGTGGCAGTCAAAGAGAGGGGATCCTTTCCTTTTGAACACATAGCATATACAAAAGGATGTAATATGCCAGACAAAATCAAGTCATCATGATCAAATTACGACGAATGAACATTACAAAAATAACAGGGTCAAATACGCAAAGTCAACTAAGATCGGGTTACAAAGGGATTATACGACGTCTAAATTATAAGTTGATTATTAAATAAGATTGTCAGGATCGAAAAAAATAATAATCATAGGTTAGAATTATAGAAAACAAGTAAATTAAATTCTAATAAAATTGAAATTGATAATTCAATTAACTAAGTCTTTGGACAAAAATTTACTAGGTTTAATTTAAAAAACTAGAGCTTAATTAGTAAATAAGGTTTTGATTTAGATTAATTAAATAATTTTAAAAATAAAATAAAATAAAAAAGCTCTTTAAGTTAGTCTATTTAATCCAAGATACTTAGAGTTAGAATAATAAAATAAAAAAACTCTTTAAGTTGGTCTAATGATAAATTTGTATAACAAACATAATTATTTTTTGCATATTTAAAATTATTATTATAAAATAGAATTGAAATATAATATTATATATTAGGTGGATTCTCTAAAATATCATGTTAAATATTAGAATGGACCTTTAGTATATATATATATAATTGATAGTGGTGTTTATTTTATATTTTATGATTTGTTATAATTTTACTTTATTTAATATAGTTAATAAAAATAAGGTTTTAATTTAATAGAAAAAAATAGTTAACAATTGAAATAAAAATTAATTATGAATATATTTATGTAGAAAAAATATAAATGAATTATTAACACAGTATAAACTTATAATTGTGTGATTAGAGTAGATTAGATTGATTATGTAATAAATAATAATTGTAATTTTCTGTTTGAAGAAAAGAGAGCAGATAGATAACTTGCTCTAATTGGCTCATGAGGAAAACAATTTGCAGCCCACGATCCAGAAAGAAAAGGCAATAGAGCTAAACGACGTCGTGTTTAGAGATGAAAAAAACCGAAAATGAATAAAAAAAGCGCCGTTGCCGGGGATCGAACCCGGGTCACCCGCGTGACAGGCGGGAATACTCACCACTATACTACAACGACCCAGTTGTGAGTTTTTCGTATCTTATTTTATTAATATATTTGATGCGAACCAGCATGATCAAGATAACACGTTTGTGGCTGTGTGTTCCAAAGTATTCTCATCCGTGTGTTTATTGTTTCATTTCATCATACAGTTTGTTACATTCAAATCAAAATAATACTACTACTGTCTCTCCAATAAATGAATACTTACTAGCAATGGCCTTGTCCTCCTCTTCATCACTATGCATTCCAACTAACCCAATCACTCAAACACCCAAATTCAGATTCTCAACTAACCTTGTGTTTACTGTCAATTTGCCAAGGAAATTATCGATTAGAAGCTCTGGTGAAAACTCTGCAGGAGCTACAGAGGTAGAGTCAGAGAGTTCCATTGAACTTCCAAAAGAATCATCATCTTTAATTTCTACTCTCAATGTAGAAAGAGCTCTCCGTGGTATACGTAAGTTTTCCATGTACTAGTACTTGTTAATTAATAATATCGTTATTATATACCTAAAATAGCATTGAATTGATGACGATATGGTTTAGAATACAGCCATAACAGACGCAGATCATTATGGTAGACTCGGCCTACCAAGAGGATGTCCCTATGACATGGTGCCAGTTGCGTATAACAACAAGGTTCGAGAATTGGAGAGTCAAGATTTAGAGAAAGACATACTCAACAAGAAATTGGAACTTCTCAGAGTCAGTAGTTTATATATATAATTTGAATTGATTTGTATTTGCATAATCATTATTGTTATACGTGAGACATCGAGAAATCGTGATGTGATGATTTGGACAACCTCTATTTGTATAGGAATCATACACCATCATGTCATCACCAGATGAAAGAAGAATGTATGACTGGAGTTTGGCCAGAGAAGATAACACTGAAACATTCATTTGGCCATATGAAGTTGATGTTCCAGAGATTCAAAAAGGAGTTCCTCCACCACAGGTACTTTACTACAATTGATTTTGAATGATTGGATTATGTAAAATTGAAGTTAAAATGATAGGTTATGACAATATTTCAACTTTTCATGGCAGGAACCTGAGGATGTTGGACCAACTAGACTGGTTGGATACTTCCTAGTGGGATGGATAGTGCTAGCATTTGTGTTATCAATTGGACTAAACTTATAGAAACAAGTTTATGTATATTATGCATCAACCCATGATGTAATGCAATGGAAAATTGTTTTCAATTGAATGAAATTCTAGATTATATGTTAAACAATACTAGTAGAATCTCCACATTCAACACCAACAGAAGATTAATTCAATTATATATGGCAAAAGTATGTTATCATTTGATGTGTAAAACAAAACCTAAAACAAATTAATCAAAGAATATAAGTAGTTGAAATTTAAAGAAACAATTGCATTTCACTAAAACAATGATGTAGTGCCAACACTTCAAATTGAAAACGCGTATCACTCTTGGACACAGCAATAGTGATCTTACAATTTTCTTTGTTACTTCCCTACAATACAACTCTCTGATTTACTATAATTCAAAACTATGAATGTGTTTGGTTTTGATAGAACCAAACTTGCGTCTAAACATTCTTCTGCCACGATATATTTCGTGGTTTTTAGTAATCCTCGAAAATTCGCAATGAAACCAAACATACACTACTAATACTAGTCTACTAGACCAGTACAATTTTTTTTTAGGAATCCAAATGGCAACAATTATTGAATATTGTTAAAAGTAACTGAACCAAAGGCATAGAAAAACACAAAAATCATGATAGTGGATTAAGATTTGATACATCAATTTTGATGAGTGCTTTCAGAAACAAAAAAGAATTTTCTACCAGTAATTTTCTCTATGCTTGAAACAATGGAAGACTCTCTTCTTTTAGCAAGATCTCTCTCACGTGCTTTCACAATAGCTTCTCTTTCATACAACTCATTCTCTTCACGCCTCCAATTTTCTTCCCTCTCTATTCGTTTTCTCTCGATTCTATCAATCACCTCCAACAATTTATTCTGAAGAACCTCTTGATGATTAACCACACGTTTCACCAACCTCTTAAAAAACGAATTCATCATTTCCAATTCTTCCTTCACTACTTTCTTCTTCCTCATCTTCTTCCTTGCAAATCTCTTCAAATCGTCTTGATTCCGACCAAGTTCGTTTTTGTACACAGCTTCAAGCTCGCCGAAGTTGTTGTCGGAAACCAAACATGTCTCGTTTTGGTTTTCCTCTTGTTGTTTTGCTGTTGCATCATATTTCACTGTGTTGTTGAATGCTTTCCTGAAAATATATAACATATAACATACCAACAAAAAACTTAGTAATGGTAATTAACTATAAGAATAATAGTCGAAAATGTGAATTACCAAAACGATAATCGCGCAGTGGATCCTTCCTCGCATTCGATGTAACCGTTTACATTAGTGTCTGTGTCACCCAAAGAATATGTTTCTTGTTGTTGTTGTGATGGTTGATATTTATGTTGATAAAAATGTTGATATTGTTGTCGGTGCTGTGGAGAATGGGAGTGATGATGATAGTGTTGGAGAATAGGGTGATGAATGTGGTTTGGTGTTAAGGTAAGTTGAGGGGTGGAAAGAATGGAGGAGGCAGAATCATCAATGGTGAGTTGTGGTTGTTGGTAAAGGGTGTTATTGGGAATTTCATTTTCATAGTAAGGCTGCATAAGCAATGCTATGATAAAGGAGGCAGGAAAGAATGGGAAGTACTAAATTACACCTTTGCAGGGAATGAACTAGTGGACTAAAAGTGTTGAGTTGGATGGAACTTAGGTTCTATATAGTCTCGTTTTTTTTAAAATAGTATCAAAACATTTTTATTTTATAGTTTTTATATATATATATATATATATATATATATATATATATATATATATATATATATATATATATATATATATATATATATATATATATATATATATATATATATATATATATATATATATATATATATATATATATATATATATATATATATATATATATATATATATATATATATATATGCAATAAAAATAGCTATCAAAAAGAGCCATGAAGCAAAGAAGGACATACTCCATATTTTTATAAATCATTCATACAAAAGAACAATGTGAAATTAAAAAGAGAAAGATGCAGACTCATAATTCCACTAACATCAAAGAATTCAAAAAGATTTTGGTATCAAATATAAAAAAAGTCAAATTATGATGCAGAAGATGATTTGTTATTCAAGTTATACAAGTGAAAAAATAAATATGTTCTATTGTTCCACTCCTACGAGGAAGAAATTTATTTGACAAATAACAACAAGACAAAATCATTGAATCTTTGAGTTTTTGTAAGATCCCTAATCTTACCCTTTACCTTTTCTAATTAATTATAGCTTCATTACACAAGTTAGTTAATATTAAGTAAGATGTGTAACCAAGGTAATTGAGTATGTTTAATTCATTTATATGCATGGTCTATAAAAATCTTATTGTAAAATCCTTTCAAACCTCTTTTTCGAAAGTATCATGACTATCGAAGAACTCATACATATTACCTTTGGTGAACTAATCCCTAGTGGGTAGAAGCAGAGGTTATTACTTTTGCAGATATTCCTTAAAGAATGTCATTGGAAAATGACAATCAAGGAAAAGAAAAACATCAAAGACAAGAGGAAGTTCAAAGTTTAAATGGAGAGACTCGAGTTAAAGAAGTCAACTTAAAGAGAATCAATGTCTAACTAAAGAATGGAGGACCATTAAGTACCATCTCAAACAGAATGTTAATGGAAATATTTCTAAGGAAATTTCAACTCAACACTACCTTAGCAAGATTAAATGAAAAGATATGAGAGCTTCCTGAAATATCTTAAAGAAGAAGTGGTTACCTTATGGCATTTGTCTATCCCGATGCTCTTGATGTTGATGGTATCCCCTAACGACTGCAATCACGAAACCTGTTAAAGGGTTAAGATGATAAATCTTTAATAGATTTATCGGTCCTATATGTGGACCAACTCTCATAACAAATGATTCGTAGAGAAGAAAAATTGATAGTGGTTTGTACTTTCCTTGAAAGAGAAAATTTCTCATGCCACCTTGAGATTTTGAAGTAGTACACATAATAGTGACTGAAAAATCGAAAAACTCTGATTGATTCTCTAGTAAGTGGTTTGATATCTTCTTTGTCAATTAAATTTATTTTCTAATAACCTATGCTTGATTTTTAAGTTTCTTTAGAACAATAGGGTGCCAAATAAAATATGCCTAGAACCCGATATTAATCTAAGGTCTAAGGAGTATAAAAAGAGATTGTCCAAAATATTTCCTAAGACGAAATGATTATCTGTTGGAAAGAATATGAGCCATAAAGAAGTAAATTCCAAAAGTTCATCTCAGTTTAGAAACTCTCAAAGAATTTTGAGAAAGAATCAATGGGAAAAAGTTCTCCAAATTGAAAGTTGGATGCTACCTTCCGTCAGAAGAAATAAGATCTTAGATATGATTCTTTATGACTCTAGACTGCTCATGTTCATCTCTATAAGGTAACTTATTCCTTTTACATGTGATCTATGTACTTAAGTTTACATATTTTACTTCTCAAATACACAATTCTATCCATCTTTTTTATTTTGAGAAAGGAGGAGAACTATACTCTCAGGGGGTGTAGAGTATACTCTCTACTTAATTGAAGGGGAGTTTAATCACTCCAAACACATATATGTTATATCTTTTACAACCTCCATAAGAGATGAGTTTTCATGATAAAAGATGGGGAGAATGTGGATCTATGTACTTACAGGTATGAAGTTGAAAATCCTGTAAAATATCTATATGAAGTTTTGATAACGACAACAATGATTAAAGTCGGTGGTAATATCTTTCAACCTTGATGATGACTATCTAACCAAAGAAACATATCATGCCTCATCAATAAAATGAGACGCGAGATCAAAGTGCTTATATGATAAGAAAAATCAAGGAAAGAATCTTGAAGTCTCAGATAAAGTGTGAAGGCTCGCCAGTTCATGTTTGTATATCTGTCAGAGTGACTCGAGTATTCTAAAACTATGGATGTAGCTTAGAAATATTAAGGAAACTCTCTCTCTCTCTCTCTCTCTCTCTCTCTCTCTCTCTATATATATATATATATATATATATATATATATATATATATATATATATATATATATATATATATATATATATATATATATATATATATATATATATATATATATATATATATATATATATATATATATATATATATATATATATATATATATATATATATATATATATATATATATATATATATATATATATATATATATATCACACACACACACACACACACACCTAAAACATATTTTCAAATGTTTTTATCTTGAAAATTATTTTCTAAGCCAAGCCATGTGGTTAGAAAGTTGTTCAAACCTTTTCCAAACTATTTTTGAACTAATCAATTGATTGGTAAGTTGTGTCAATCGATTGGAAAAAAATTTATGAGCCAACCAATTGATTGGAAACTTAAACTAATCGTTTGGGGAAGGACTAATTGATTAATCAAGCAATTATGAAATCAAACTAATGACTTGCAATAGTTATATATCCAATATTTCCTGTTTGGGCTTGCTAATCGGTTAAAAATAAGTTGGCCAATCGATTGGAGCTTTGTGCCAATCGATTGGATCATTAACTCAGCGCATGAATCATTTCCTTTTTGGTGTTTCTATCTCCTATATAAAGGAGGCTCTCTTCAACTTTATTTCACACCGCGTTTCCAACAATTTACATTTTCCCTTGGAATGTATATCTATAATTTTTCTCTTTCCCTCTCTCTCTCTCTAGAAAATATTTCTCTCACTTAATATTGCCTTAGTACTTGTGAGGGAAACTTTTCTTGTGAGGAAGAGTTTTGTAAGTGGTCGTGATATTTGTTTAAATATTGAGAGTGTGATACTCTTGAGAAGATTGAATTTGGTTCTTGAGATCAACCAGACGTAAAGTCTTGGTTGTGGTCTATTGAGCTTTGTCATAAAAAGTTATATTTTGGTTATTGAGATTAGCCTGAAAATCTATAAGAAGGTTATAGTTTATCATGTGGTAAAAATTATTTGTAGCCGAGGATATGCTTATAAAAATGTCAAGATCAACTTGTATAAAGGTTTGTGAACATACCATAAAAAGTTCACAAGTTTATAGTCAAAATATCAAGAAGACCTTTTGAGGACACGACTAGACCAATGTTTGGTCAAACTTGGATAACTCTCTGGTACAATCTATTTAACATTATCCTCTTTAATTTTCTCTATTTACTTTTTATTATTTATCTCTGATGCAATTTACCCAAAAAAAAATATTAACATGATATTAATCAAGAAAATTATAAATCTAATCACGAAGTTTAAATACCACAATTCACCCCCCATTGTATGCTTGTAGTCACTTGTCCAACATCTAGGACATTAGAGTGAATTCAAGTTTTCTTGTATTTCCAAGGTAATATATGCCAATTGATTTTAAATTTACATATTCTTTTTTATCTAACCCGATGTTCACTTCCTCTATATTAAGGTTTCCTAGTTCTTTGGTTGATTTTTTTGCAACATCTTCAAACTGAAATATGATTCACCCTTGCGAAAGCAATTTTCCTTTCCTTTCAGAAATCTTTGCCTGAGGTGTTTGCTTTCTGTTTGAAGTTGAGTATTCTTCAACTTGCATTTAACCTCCACTTTCTTCACTTGCTCTCATCCTTTCCAGGTACCATTCTCGCCTTGAACTCATTTCCCTATTTCTAGTCTTTATTTTGACCATGGTTAATGTAGATGATCACCTTGTAAGTCTGTCTAGTGACTCAAACGGTAGTGGTTCCTCCTGTTTTGTTAGAATAGAAACTCCCACTAATTTAGACCTCATTCCTTATGTTATTATTTTCTCTTGTCCTGTCGTGATAAATGTGTCTGTGTTTGCGGTGAAAATTCGCTAAACAAATGCGATTATATTAATACTTAAGGGATCAAACTCGAAAATCTCCCGGACATATTTGTGTGTCGTTTTTGATCGAAAATAGGGGTGTCCGTCGAAGTCAACGCAAACTTCTGGAATAACACCATGATAAAGAAATATGACTGAAATGCAAGGCAAATGCAAATGAAATGCAAGGTAAAACAAAGTAAAGTGCTTGCATAGAAAGATAAAGTGCAGTAAGATAAAAGACTGAAAGTTCAAAGACTATTAAAGTAAGGTGCAGAAAAGTAAAGTTTCTAAAAAGATAAAGGCAGTCGAAAATAAAGTGCAAGAAACGTAAAGGCATTCGAAAGAAAAAAATGGTTAAAATGCATACAAAAACGTTTTGAGATAAAAATGATGGAATGTATTAAATTGGTGGAACACATACGTACATTTTCCTCACTCATTTCTCACAGTACATGTACTTTGAGTGTAGTAGAAATGTGTACAATTTGTGGACCATTTATAAAATAAACCTAAGTTGTTATATATACAAGTCTAAAATGATTGTACAAGACTAAATACTATCCCTATGATGACACGTCTTCTGATCATGTAGAGGTTTTTCCCTTGAAGTGCCCACATTCTGAGTAACCTTCAATGCATATGCAATAGTTCCCGCCTCACTCCTTCTTTTGAAACTTTCAACTGCTCTGTTGGCACCAAGAACTAATAATCCT